AACAAAGAATGATTTCATTACAATACGAACACTTTCGTTCTATTCAGAATAGTCGAAAACCTAACTATTTATTAATAGATATGGAGTTATTCAAACTTGAAAAAATTTGAAAAAAAGTTGTTTCGAGCATTTTTGACGATCAAGGTTTAGTGTATATCTTTTGAATAATACAAAATAAAAATTTCGGGTTTAGATAAAGTTATAGATCTTGAGTAGCAGAATCTGACACACTCCTTATAATCGAAATTCTATACACTTCTCATAGGACTTTAATTTCTTCTTTGAATTTCACGGACTGCCGACCAAATTTCTAGGCTGACTCTCTTAACTAGTATATGAAAGATGCAGAAGGTCATCCTCTTTCTAATGGTGAAAACCGCAGACCGATAGCTCTTTCGGTCGAAGAGTTATTCGAAAAACAACCATCTGCCTTTTATTTTGAAATGGATATTAGTATCTATATGTCAAAAATATACCTAGTTTTCAGGGCTTTGGACTGAAAATTTTAATAGACTAAGAGCAATGCTCCTTCTAAGCTTGTAACACCATGAAAATATTTTCTCAAATCCTGAAAATCGTTTTGCTTTCTGAAAAGTGTTTTTAATTAAAAATTATAAAAATGAATGACATAGAGTCGAAGATCACCCGAGAAACTTTGTATGTTTGGACACAATAGAAGACCACGGTTTCTCTATTTTAAGAAGAGATTTAGACAATTTCTTAATAATATGAAAGTCGGGTCTCATCAGGTCCGAGTTCGGGTAAGAAAAATTTTAATAAATCGGATCCGGATCGGAGTCCGGACACAAAAAGTTTGGATCCGATGGGCCCTAGTAGTGACAAAAGAAAATCAAAAGAATGTGTTTGATATTGATAATAGTGAAGACAAACTACGTAGAACTATAGAGCAATTTAATTAAAATGTTCGAATTGATCCCATGGGCATCGATGCATTTTTGAAGTCTTACAGGTACCGACTGACACACTTTCTTTCACAGATCAGGATCTAGTGTGGAAGATGCTGAGATAATTGACTGCTTGAGATTGGTTAAGTTTCGAGGTTTGCTTTGATACACAATATCTTTGAGGTACTTCTAGAAAAAAAGCCTGCAGGTGCCAGATCAGGAGATCTTGCAGGCCAGTCAATTGAGCCTCGAGGACCAATCGATCTTGCTGAAAAGTTTTTGTCAAGCTAATCTCGAACATCAGAATCATAATGCGTTGGTGCACCATCTTGCATAAGAAAAATTGTTTCATTACCTAATATATCACAAAATACTAAATTGAAGTAATCGTTCAGCATTGTAAGATAACTATGAGTAGTCACAGTGTTCTCGAAGAAATAAGAACCGATCACACTCTCAAAACTAGATGCCAGCTCACACAGTGAGCCCTTCAGCTTGCATTGTTTTCTTCCATGTGACATTTGGATTTTCAATTGCGTAATAAGTAGAGTTATGACGATGAATATGATCATTGAGTTTAAAAATAGCCTTGCCTGACCATGTGACACGATGAATGAGATCAGATTCGCTTTGTAGATTGGATAAGAACGTCTCGCAATATTGAACACATTGACCAAAAATATCTTCGTTGAGTTCATGAACTAATCTAGAAATATACGGCTTTTAGACCATAGATTTGTGGATACGTTGATCTGAAGATCTTCGAATACTTAACTGTAAACTAATGTGACGAGTTGACATTCGAGATTCTTCTTCCAAAATCGAAAAAACTTCATGTTTTAGAGTTTGATCAATAATTGATACTGGTCTATCAGGTGGATCAATGTTGAGTAGAGAACCAGTCGGCTTAAATTTGTTCATCAGTAAACTTATCATGTTTTGATATGGAGGATAGTTATTTATTTCCTTAATCCATCATTTTTGGATATTGATGTGATATTCAAGTCAATACATGTGTTTAACAATCCATGTTTTTTCATTCACACTTAATTAACGCCGTGTCCTGTTTGATACTATTAGAGAGCCGTTTTTATTCCGAATAACTTGACCCAAAAAAATGCTCATCTTGATGAGAGAAAAAAGGAATCATGGAATGTGGATAGGATAAAAGCAGATCTTGGTAAGAACAGAATGTGTCGAGGCATATATGAAGTGTATGCCTGTAAGAGATACCAACTCTGAAATTTCAGAATGTATGCACGTTAGTTACAATGGAGTCTTATTTTTTGTATGTAAGAGATCATACATAGACGAAAAAGGTTTATAAAAATACCTTGGAATCATCCTGTAACGAGTGACAAATCCTCATGAATGTTGATCTTACTAGCTCTAGGAACAGTATTTGTTGATGTTGGTCTTATGAAAAAAAACTTTAAAATAAGCCTCTGTTACTGAGAAAATTGTCAGCTTGTTTGGTCGACATCTGGAAGATATATTTAAATTTCTTATCGCACTGTTATTTATGGGCCGCCCTGTATTTTTGAAGTAAAATATCATATCTGTCATCGTTAGACAGTTTGCACTAGAGAAAACAATATTTAGTGCGAATCTCGTTGAAACATCTCTCCATATTTGCTTTCATTTATCTCTTTGTCTGTTTTATAATCGCTTTGTCAGTTGTATCTTTGATTTTGGAAAAGAGCAACATTATTGTACAGGATTTATGACTGTTTGTAACATAAATATATATTCGGAAAACAATAACTCATATAGAGCAGCACATATGTTTTTTTGCCTCATTAACGTGTTCTTTTATTTATTATATAATTTGACACAAAGCGACAAAACTTCTTTATAGTCTATAAATATAGATAAAAATGTGTGTATGCGTCACAAAAGAAAAAAAGTAGTAGAAATAAGAGGTAAAATTCGAATAAAACAGGTATTGAAATTGTTCATGTTGTTGTTATTGTAGAGTTATCGTGTTGCTGAAAGAGATATCATTTCCGGTTGATACATCATTCTTGATGACTTATTAGAATTAAAATTTTCTTCGTGATCATCATCTTGATCAATAAATTTAACACGTTTATTTGTTGGTACTGATGATGATCGATTTTTTGTTAAGGCACCATTTGATGATCCACTAATACTTCGTAAAATTTGTTTACTTGTTTCAAGTGAAAAATTTGTTATAGCATTAAGATCATCATTAAGACTTCGTTGATGAATACTATTTGATAGTGGCTGACGAGAATGAATTAATGAAGATTCACCTGGTGTATATGTTAATGTTGAACCATCGTATAATGACGAAGCACTACTTGACACTATATTTGTTGATCGTTTTGGTTGACTAGAATTGAATCGTGCATGATTATATTCATCATTATCATCATCATCATCATTATATCTCATACTATCATTAATTTGTTCTTTTAATGGTACACGTACATCACGTTTTGCATGAGATCTAAGACGAGTTTCATGATCAGGACTAGAAGCATGTGGTGGTGATTGATTTAAATACGAAGTGACACCATAATGATATTGATTATGCCTATTGAATGAGTGTATATCAGGTAGTGAAAGTAATCCTATATATGTTTCACTAAATAATGGTACAAATGATGATGGGATTGGTGTATAGTATGGACTATATGCACGCATTATTGGCCAATCTGGTTTTAATTTTTGATTGATTTTGTCAACTTTATTATTCATTGTTGTTTCAAACTGTCGATAACGACCAATAGGTGTTTTAAGATTTAATAATTTGTCTTGTTCTTGTCTAACACGCCGTTTAATTGTTTGTGGTGGTGTTGGTAAATCATAAGCAAGAACATTTGCCGGTGATGCTAAATTCATTGCTTGTGCTATTGTTGCACTAGTATTTTCATCATTAACATTATTTGCAGCACGATCTAATAAAATAGCACTTTCCATTTCACTATCATGTCTTTGACGCATTAATTGTAAGCATAAATCGTGATTACGTTGACGATCTTGTATTTGTTCTAATTTTTGTTCACGTAAAATTTGAGCTTGTGTTGCTTTTAACTCTTGTTCACGATCCCATAAACTTAATTCTTCTAATTTATTCATTAAACGTCGCATACGATGTTCACGCCAATTAGGATTTAAACGTGTACGAGTTGTTTTAGGAATATATGTTTTTTCTTCGTTTAATGGAAATAAATTATTTGAAGTTTCAAGTCTATAACTTTCGACAAGTACATCGACAAAATCAACTGGAGGATGTGTTGATGAAAAAGAAGAATGACGAGATGAAGGTATTTCAATTTCTTCAACCATTGGAGCAAAACTAACTGAACGACTTTTTAATAGATTTCGACGATTATTATCAAGATTTTCTTTATTTATTTCATCAGAAGAAATAGAATTTGAATTTTCTATCGACGTTAATTTGAGCTCAGATTCGAGTGTAGTTGAAGTCGCAAATGATTTTTCTTTTTCATCAGTTGTTGTCGATAGGGGTGTCTCAATTCGTTCTACTTCTTCGTTTTCTACAGGAAGTTTATTGGTTGATGAGAGTGAATGAATCTCATCATTTCTACTCGAAGATATTTCATCAGATGTTAATACCATTGAATTATATTAATTACTGAAAAGTAATAAGTTTAAAACTAAGATAGTTCAACAAATTATTTACCGAAAGAAAATAAATCGTTTCTATGGACACAAGCGTTTTTGATGATTATGACACCGTTATGCGACTTCACAAATAGTATATCGTACAGAGCTATGTTTTTTTTCTCTCTCGCTCTCTGATATACTCGTCTGTGAATCGTACAAAAAAACAAAACTAGTCTTATTTGTAATTATTTTGAGACATTTTTCTTTGCGCCGGGTCGCCTAGTATCGATATATAAGCAAATGAATATATGGCGCGTAAAGAAAGACGAAGAAGAAGGAATGATATAGAACAGGGTTAACCAATATTGCTCTTTTTTTTCTGCTGTTGTTGTTGTTGTTATGCCACCGAGGATAATCACGACGACTAACAGATATCAGAGGAAAAAAAATCGATGTTGTCGTCTCACACAAGTAATGGTTAAAAGGACAAAAAAAAACAAGAAAACCTTTCGTTCGACAACTACAACAAAAGCGCTAATCTACTCAGTGAATGGATAAAAGTCGATGTCAGCAGAACGACTACTGTGTTTTATGATACAAGCATGGATAAGAAACTAGCAGAAGTTTTTCTTTTTCTCTATGAGAAAAAAAATAGATTGACGTCAGACAACTAAGTAAACATCTATGCCTAAACAAGCTGATACAGGTCAGATAAATAGACATGAATGAAAATATCCTTTAATTGAAAGATAACTCCTCAAAACCAAGAATAAATATAAGTACTTAAATGTAACATTGAATGATTGATATCAAATCTAAATTGAAAGATATTTGATAGCAAGCGCCAATCAATTTATCTCATTTGTTTTTTTTTTCCTTCTTGCTTTTCTGCATGCTTTTTATATGGCAAAACGTTATAAACAATCTTCATCGCTATTAACCAGATGCATTCGCTCTAATAAAACAATTTCAACATCAGTGCCGACTAGTAATAGTCATATAAAAACCAGTACACATATGTCAAATACTTGTCTATTATCCTCAGTTGTAGAAGCTATTCAAACTATTGATCAAATGGTTCAATCAGTGAAAATTACTAATGATAAACAACAAGGTGATTCAGGTTGTTTAGAAAAAACAATGAATATTGAACAGATTGAAGAAATGCTTACTAAATGGACTCATATAGCTCATTTTCTTATGGATACATATGAACAAATGCAAACTTTCAACGAATATACGCAGAAATTTGTGAAAGTCGAAAAACTGAACTAATAATACAATTATTTACAGTCAAATTATAGAAAAAATAGCTGAGTAATATATATTTCAAGAACTATATCGAGCAAAGAGAACTAAGAGTCATATTTTTATTAAAATTCAGAAAATCTTTCTGTCTTATTTACTATTTAACCCTTTGACGACAGATTTATTTTTAGAACAAATAAAGTAAAAATTTATTGTTAACATGGTATATGTTGAAAATTATTAGTGATCATAATTTGTGCAGTCAAATTTGATTTAAACATGTAATGATGTTACCAATTGTATCTATGTCAGAACACAACGAATATTGAAAAGACTTGCTTTTCTATATTTGGCTTCGTCGTCAACAAGTTAAAAAAATTAATCCAACATTACACTTGTTTTTTTTTCTATTAATCAGGCTATTTCGGTCTGAAATCTGTTCATAAAAGAACCGCTTTACTTCTGGTTAAGTTGAATCATGAAAGAAACTGACTCCTCATTTGTATTGATATGAACTTATTAGCAAATTTATGTAGTATAGTCGAAGATTTTTTTCTATTGAAAAGTGATTCTTCAATTAGTTTATTGTATTCGATCCAAAATAATTCGATAAAAACTTTGTAATAATCAAATCAAAACAATTTAGGTCATTTTCAAGTAAATCATTCATTGTTTGATCTCATTTGTACTTTTTCAGTGTTACCGTCAGTATATCTTCTTGATGTTCCTTTTTTCAGGGAAATATATTTTCATTAAGAAAATGAAGAATAGACTGTGATAATGCTAGTCTAGGTTTCTTTTCAGAAAAAGGTCTTCCGAAATTTAGCCATTCACCACTAGAAAGAAATCATAATGTTATTGTGCAGTACCAAAAAAAAAACATCTGGAAAGGATCTTGGCAACAGGGCGAGATAAAGAGAAGATATGCATGAAAGGAAAAATAAGGCAACCTATAACTTTTATTATCTTGCAGATCTATCAGTTTAATGCAAACAAAGCGATTTATTCTCTATCGAAAATAAACAAACGAGACAACATATGTATTATCGTCCTCAAAGAGTTAATAATCGACTTGAGAGACAAGTAAAGGTATTGAGTTGAATACTCATATTAAAAATGACTGTATTCAATATCTTTTCAAGTAGCATAATCATGGGTGGTTAGATCGTGTACCGCCTTTCGGCTGATAGTCTTCACTTCATCACTAGAAGAAAGGAAAATGCAATAATTACCACTATTGACACTATATTTCATGAACTACCTCCAAGATCGTGGGGCAATATCCTACCACTCATGATCTTCTGATAAAAGCACAAATCTTTTCAAAATCTATAATTCGATAGGAACAAAGATTCTGTACACTTTTCTTATTCGAATGAGACATACATTTGATAAATTGCAAATAATTCCGATATTTTATTTCTTTAATTATATGCAAAGTCATATTTGATTTCACACTGTATAAAAAAAAAGAAGAATAGCAAGATGAACAAAATTTATATGGATATCCATAATATCAAACAAGGAAACAAAAAAAAATTAATTTTCGCTTGTATCTATCGTACAAAAAGAAAACAACGTAACACAGACACACACGCACAAATACATACAAATAGGAATTATCTTTCATAAGGTAAATTTAAAAATTTACCAGTTTGTACATGAACAAGTTTTTGAATTCGTTCAAAACATGCACTATCACGAAACCATGAATAACGAAATAATTGATTCATATCTGGTCGAGCATATGTATTCTTTTCTAATGTTTTTGTTATTATTTCTTTTAAATCTTTTTTTGCATGTGATACTGAATTTAATGCTCGAATACCTCGTAAACGAAATACAGTATCTCCAACGTAAGCATTCAGAAGAGTCATACCAAATGACCAAACCTAAATTAAAACTTATATAAAATTAATCAATACAACAAGTATAACGAAAATGACAAACTATCGGCAATTAGAACTCGAGTTCATTCTCATAAACCATCTGTAACGGATGGGTATTTGTTTTAGGTATAACATAACCAGAATGAAAAAAAAGGATCAAAACTTATTAATGAATAGAATAGATCTTTGCTTACTATAACTATACTGTTCAACTTTAATTTGGTAGATGAATCGACGTAAATCTAAGTTCACGAGAGAAGTTCTCGAACTGATTAATCGCTTTTGAGTCGAGACTAGATGCATCACTTACGTTCATGTCAACTACGAATATTTTGAAAACAACTCAAATACATAGCTTATTGCTGTCGAGACAGTGTATTTTCAGTATAATGTCGTGTTTCCAATGAGGATGACTCAGGAAAATGGTTTTCTGAATTTTGATTCGAAACTTTGCATAGAAATAAATCTTTGTGAGAATAGTTTATTAAGAGAAATATCAGATCTTTTCCTAAAATATGGCTATAGTAAAAGCATGTCTTTTACGTCTCTCATAAAAAACGGCGAATTCGATGTTCTTATCTCATAATAGAAGCAAAGCAAAGATTTAAAATTTTCACAATAAATAAGTATTACGAAGACTTATCTCTGTGCAAAGTTTTCAACTGAAATTCGAAAAAAAATATTTCTTAGTATTCTTGAGGAGGATCACAGCATTATACTGACAATGCACTATTTCGACAGCAATAAACTAAACGCTTTAAATCTATTCAAGGTATTCATAGCTCATTAGGAGCTACAAGATGTGCATAGTCTCGACTCAAAAACGATCCATGAGTGAGGAGACTTCTCTCGTCAATCAATGTTCACTTTTCCGCTCCAGGCTGCCATAAATTTTGTTTATCGAGTGTAATCACCTTTATCCTAATACAATTTCAAACTGTATTATTAAGTTATTAAAGTCTCAAATTCAATTTTCATTCATTGATTTAAATAGAAAAAAAAAGATTTCTCAAACTCACATCAGCATTTGTAGAATGTCCAGTTTGAAATTGTACTTCAGGTGCCATAAATTGTTGTGTACCAGCAATAGTTGTATTTAAATATCGTGATGATGCATAAACATATTTCGCAACACCAAAATCACTTAATTTCGCAACTGTTTCTCGTTCATTTGACATAAGAAGAACGTTAGCTGGTTTTATATCTCGATGAACCTAATTCAACAGTAAAAAAAATAAAAAATTTAATTTTGCTTGTTTTTTTTTTACTATTTTAAGTCGATGTAAATATGCAAGTGCACAACCAATTTGGTAAAAAATAAATTTACATTCATCTTCATCCATAATATATGTTTTATGTATTCTATCAAGTAATGAACCTCCAGCTGCATATTCCATTTCAACAAATAAATCTGATTTTTCATGATAAACATCAAAACGACGAAGAATACAAGGATGATCAACACTGCCATGAATGGATCTTTGAAAAGAAATCAAAGGATTTTTTTTTGTTTTGAAAAATTTTATCAATAAATAATTATTTATTTACACTTCTCGATAAAGATATTTTGAAAATCCTGGACCAATTTGTTTTTCACATTGATCTTTATTTATAATTTTAATTGCACGACGTGTATGTGTAACATGTGATATGGCTCTATAAACATTAGCAAATGAACCTGAACCAAGTAAATTTGCTTTTAAATAACGTTCATCAAGATTACTAACACCAAATAAACCTGATAAATGTATAAATCTATATGCACGATTTTCTTTTAAAGCAAGAGAACTAAAAAAAAGTAGAAAAAAAAAAGTAGAAATATTCTATTTTTGTTTAACTTACATAATATGTTCACTATTTTGTAATAAAACTTTT